TAATGATGGGAAATTTTCCTCATCAAATTGGCAATTAGCTAGGTATGTTGTGAAAAATCACCTTTTAAAGGTTCAAGATATCTTATAATACAGATTGACTCATAACCAACATATATTCCCAACCTTCTTTGAGGATCCATTTTTGTCCGTTATGGTGGTGCAATGGGGGCATATACTGCACACCCAAAAATTCTCAAATGGGATATATTTGGCACTTGACCAAAAACAAGTTGTAGGGGAGAATATACATGATATGAGCTTAGTCTTATGCGTATCAATGATCCAGCATGTAAGATTGCATGGCCCCAAACAATAGCAGGAAGTTTGGTACTCATTATCAATGGTCTAGCTATTAGCTGGAGATGTTAAATCAGTGATTCAGCTAAACCATTTTATGTGTGTACATGAGCAACTAGATGCTCAACAACAATTCCTACAGACATACAATAGTCACTAAATGCATGTGAAGTAAATTCACCAGCATTATCAAGTCTCACTCTTTTGATAGTATAATCAAGGAAATGTGTCCTTAATTTAAAATTTTGAGCAAGAAACTTTGCAAATGCCATATTACGAGTTGATAATAGGAAAACATTAGACCATTTGTTGGATGTATCTATTAATACCATTAAGTATCTAAATGGTTCAGATGGTTGTCACACCCGAAAACCGGAACAACGGAAACGTTCTGGGGTGGAGGACGTCCTGTACAATATCACAACAATGCATAATAGTAAACAAGTAACAACACCATCCATTGCATTAATAATATAATTTAATACAAGTGTGTTCTATGTATAGTTTATAAGACACCAAAAATTAATAATCAAAATAAAGACGAGTCTTGAAAGCTCCGTATTCTCAAAACCTGGTCATTGGTACCTGTCTACTGGTGACTTGAGAATACAAGTTATTTTAAAAGCATAGATCAGCATTAAAGCTGGTGAGTTCATAAGTATTTTAGTGTCATTGTTTGTATGAAAGTGTTTGTAAATGTTTATTGTAAATGTTTGTAGTAAATGTTTGTATCACCCAGAAAATCCTATATTTTCTACTAAAAAGTAGCCTTCTACCAAGGCCCGAATGTTTTGTTTGTTGTTTGTGTGTAGAAGTGTGTAGCTTTCCCAAGTATGACTATCATTACCAAAATATAGTTTACATTACCGTTTATGTGAGAAGATCACAATGTGAATGCAATGGGAAAATAACGATGTACCGTAGTAATGTATAAGTAACTACTAATGTACTAACTACCTTAAACCAGTTTGTTAATTAAGGTAAAATGTGATGAGGTTGTAACCATACTTGATTGACTAGTAAAACACGACGATCAAAGACGTCAAAATGGTATGGCATTCGTCACCTGTAGACTTGCAGGTCCCACTGTAGCGAGCAGCAAGGTCTAGGACGGTTAGTCTCGTATAGATCTATAAACAAAATCACACTCTCCCTCCATGAGACTCTGGTTACAAAACGTAACACAACAGTAGGATTGCCATGCCATGAAGTAGTGGCGCACATTAATGTTATAGTATTCTAGTGTTTGTATAGTATGTTCTAGTGTATTGTATGTTCACTCTGTTCTAGTGTATAGTATGTTGTCTTTGTATAGTGTAGTGTATGTTCTCGTAGTTTCTCATCATAGTATGTTCTCTTTGTATAGTGTAGTGTATGTTCTCTTAGTTTCTCATCATAGTATGTTCTTTCTGTTTCTCATAATAGTAAGTTTGTATTGACTTAGAATGAACTGACTCTTGTATGTTTCATTGTACTAGAAGTAGTGAGTAGTAAACCTCTAAACTATACCTATTATAGTTTGTTTACTAGTAATGTTATTTGAATGACTGAGCATGTTTGTACACCTTTGCTACCCAAAGGTGCTGAACTGATGTAAGAACTTTTATATCTATACACATATACATAAGATATAACTAAGATTAAAACGACGCTCGGACAAACAACCGGATACCCTAAGTCCACAACCAAATAAGGAACACGAAATAAAGTGAGTTATTAGTCCTAAGTCCTTTCAACCTTACTTATATAACTATATCTATATAGACATGATTTTGACAATATATATAAGTTTAAAAGAGTTTAATAAAGAGTTTAACATATAAAAGAGTTTTAACCATTTGAATGGTAATAGATGACTTGATGTCAGTTTATAAAATGCTTTGAAGAGTTTTTTTTTTATAAAACAGTTGAAGTATAAGAAAATCCACTTGTTTGATAGTTAATAATCACATGTGATTGATATAATAACTACTCCCTCCGTCCCAATATTATTGTCCACGGACAAAAAACACAAAGATTAAGAAAAACATTAATTACCACTAACTTTATTTAATAAAATGACAGTTTTGTCCTTACTTTGCATTTAATGTTCCATTAAATGCTTAGTTTGTTAACTAATAATGAGGGGTATTTTGGTAAAAATGTTATTTATTTTTAGAAGTTGACTATTATTTTGGGACAAACCAAAAAGGAAAGATGGACTATAATTTTGGGATGGAGGGAGTATAATAGTTGTACTTGTATTCCCCCCATAAAAGCATTTAAAATCATTTAAAGGATAAGTTAAGGGGTATGAACTCACCTGTAGTGAGTGATTCAAATGTAAGATCGATTGTAGGATGCTAAGTGTCAAGTGAAGTCTCGAACACAAACGGATCTTATTGAGCATAAAACGACACATATATGTATATAATTAGTGTTTAAGCAACTAATCATGATAGAGAATCACCTTAGGGACTAGGAAACACTTATATTGAAGTGTTACAATCACAAAGGATTGCATCTAAGGGGTTTACGTCCATACAACGGAGTTTACGGCCATTGTGTTTATGGCCTAAGTGTTACGGCCAAGGAGTATACGGTTATGGAGTTTACGGTCGTACACTCTTGGAAGAACTTGGAAACGAGGTGTTTTATGGCCCTAACAAGTATTCCCTAAGTGTTCACGGTCCTAGGTTTGGACTTAAAATGAGTTTGAGGCCAAAATATGCACCAACACAAGGGTTTACGACCATACAAGGGGTTACGACCGTAAACTCTTGGTGTTCATGCATTAAATGATGTTTCAAGGCTAGGAATCGTGTATTTATCAAGCCTAACTAGAAGATAGAAGAGATACTTACACTTTTGAGGCTTGAAGGGGGTCCACAGCCCAAGAACAAGAGGTTTTCTTGGTGAAAGTGATGAATACTTGAAGATCTACCCAAAAAGATGAATTCCATGGATGAAATCAAAGGGTGATACAAGATCAAGAAGGATATCAACTCGCAAAACGGAAGAAATACTTACATTTTTGGAAGATCAAGGTGAAAAGCTTGATGACATTTGAGAGAGAATCCGATTTCTTGAGTTGGAAGTGGGAAAAAGTGGTGAAAAATGAAGAAGTATCATATTTAAGGGGTGAGTTCACGGTCAGCCAAGGGTTTACGGCCGTAAACTCCAATCCTTGGAGTTTTCCGGCTTGTATGCTACACACTGAACTCTATAATATACTTCCTAACATTCCTTCTTGAAGGTACTAGGCTTAGAACACTCAAACCGACCCTTAACAAGGCTAAAAGATAGCAAAAACGAGTCTGGCTTTGATTGAACTGAAAGGTTGTACAAGATAGAAATTATGGGCTGTCACAATGGTGGATGAATTGGTCCACATATATCACTTGAATTCTTTCTAGAAATATAGGTGATTCCCTTTGAACTTTCATAGGAGAATGTCTTATAAATAACTTTCCAAGGGAAAAAGATGTACATGGCCTTACTTTGTTGGATTGAGGGAACTTTTGGTCCTTCAATGGGTGCCCATGCGTGCTCTGATTTATCCTTCACATCATTGTTAATCATGGGTAGCCCAACCTATTATGCCATAAACTGAATTTCCCAAGATCACAATGTTTTCCTTTGATTACCATATTTGATTTAATCATATGTATATATGTATAATGCAGACCATAATCAAGTGTTGGTAGTTTTTCAAGTACATGGATTTTGGCTAAAATATACTTACATTTATTATTTTCAGTGGTTACAGTTTTTGTGTCATATCCTTTGAAATATCAGTCATTGAAACTTAGTAAGTTCCTATTAGACTTTGGTGAAAATAAGGCATTTTCTATACAAAAGCTTGTACCATTTGGTAATATAAAATGAGATTTTCTAGTTCCCACTATCAAGTCTGCAGAGCCTGATATGGTATGTATGATTGTTTTTTTTGGTACTAATTTTGAAAAATATTTCCTTGATTTCAAAATCGTATGCGTACTACCACTATCTGATGTATAAAGATCTCTAACCTTTTCTTGGTGTTGTGCTCCAGTTGGACTCATATTAAACTTCACATATGAATGAAATAATAAATGAATAAACATAATCATAATAATTATTATAATGAAAGTTCATTTATTGTAGGAAAGCCATTACATTAAAAACAAATAAAGGAAAAACATATCTACTAGAACAATAATTAAAATTTTTTGTTTATGCCTTCCACGTCATTGTAGAAATCGGCAAATGTTAGCGGAGTGCATTCAACATTATCAATGAGGTTTGCTTCTTTTCCTTTTCCTTTAACAGACTCTTGATAAATTTGACAAAGATGTGTAGGTATGCGACAATTCCTTGACCAATGGCATGTGCTACCACATCTATAGCATAAACCATCAAATTTTTGTGAGATCCTAGTATCGTCCCTTGTCACTTTGGCCTTGTCTTGGGTATTGTTTCTTTGTGAATAATGGTAATTGTTCCTTTTCTGGCCACGACCACGATTATTACCTTGTCCGCGACCAAAATTATGGTTATGATTTTGGCTTTGGTGTGACATCTCCAAATTCACTTTCATTTTAAAAATTTTATTTATGCTTATTCAAAAATCAAATTATTCATTTTAAAGAATAATATTGTTGGATTAGTTACAAAAGATTTAATAAGGTGAAGTGACAAAACTAGGACAACTTCTAAACAATGACAACAACATTGATTCTAATGATCAAGTTCTAGTGAAATTTATGTTTAAATAGGTTTTACATTTGTTAAAGAATGGAAAATTATGTGTAACATACTTAAAATCTAGTTTAGGATATTAGAATAAGTTAATATAATGGATTATTTATGTTGCTGGAAATGTCTAATTAAGTCCTCGTAAAGTGTAAACTAGGTTCAACATTGCGAATATGTTCCAATGATCAGGTTTGTGTAAAATTTATGTTTGTAATATTCATAACATGTTTGAGAATGATAATCATATACGTGTAACTATACTTATCCAACCATATGGACTCATTCACGAGCCACAAGCACCACTTGCTTGCCAACATTTTTTCCCGAAAAAAGCCCGACCAAAGCCGCAGGTGCACTCTCAAGCCCCTCTACAATATCTTCAATGTAACATATCTTCCCTTCTTTTATCAATGGTATAACCATTTCCATGTACTTTGGAAGCAAATTAAAATGATCACTTACAATAAACCCTTTCATATGAAGTCGTTTCATTATTATGCTTGACAAATTCCTCACACCCTCCTCTTGATTTAAGTTGTACTGTGAGATCATCCCACAAGCCGAAATCCGTCCATTTACTCTCATATTTAAAAGCACCGCCTCCAACATCTTCCCACCAACGTTCTCGAAGTATATATCAATTCCTTCCGGAAAGTACCTGATATTAATCAGAAAAAAAAATAGAATATATATATATGTATAAAAAATATTAATCTTTGTTTTAGGTGACAAATATATTATTTGTTTGGGGTACTAACTAACCTCTTGAGAGCTGCATCAAGATCTTGCTCTTCCTTGTAGTTAAAAGCTTCATCATATCCAAATTTATTTTTCAGCAGCTCAACCTTGCATGACATATATGATTTTGAGAAAATGTATCTCAATCAATAAATCATCATATAAGGGAAAATATTGCTAAAATTAATCACCTTTTCGTTGGTTCCAGCAGTCCCAACAACATAACATCCGGTCAGCTTCGCAAACTGCCCGACAAGCTGACCGACTGCCCCCGAAGCGGATGAAACAAAGACATACTCTCCTTTCTTCGGAGCACAAATCTCGTAGAAGCCATAATAAGCAGTCATACCGGGCATACCTTGAAAAAACCATCAAAGAAACAAACTCATTTTACAGAACTCAACATCCGTAATTTATAGAATCTCAAAGCTCCTTAATTAAACAAAAAACATACCAAGGATTCCTGTATAATATGAAAGAGGGACATCTGTATCTTGAATCTTGAAAAGGGTCTGGGGAGTAGTGATAATGGTGTATTCTTCCCATCCAGTCAATCCCCAAACGAGGTCACCTTTCTTGAAGTTTGAATGCCCAGAATCCACAACTTTAGCGACTCCAAATCCTGTTATGGGCTACAAGAGCCAAGTAGTAACTTCTTAACCTTTAATTATAAGTGTATTAAGAATATTATTATACATATTCGTTGAAGAAGTTTAAAATGCTTCATTGAAAGCTAATGCACTCATAAAGGTAATGATTAGGAAGAAACAACGATTTGCAGGAATATTGGGTGCTGCAGTTCAAAGTTTACAGTTGAAAGATTAGGCGCCCCAGTTCAATTCGAATAGCAAAGCACAACCTTCATGACAAATCATTCGATAAACAAATTGTTTTCCCTTAAAGTGGATAAAAAAAAGGTGAGAAATGAGAGTGTAAACTGTAATTCATACCGAACCAGGAGTGAAGGATTCAAGGTAACCGACTTGACCTTTGCTCATCAGAAGACACAGGTATGGATCGCAGGAGAGATAAAGGTTCTTTACGAGGACGCCATTGGAATCTTGTGGGAGCTTGAGGGGGATGATGGAAGTTTTAAGGAGCATGTATGATTCCTTGGGGAAGCCATTAACGTAATCCTTCAAGATTACCTGTAGATTTCTCACTGCTTCCATTTACCTGTTAAACAAGCACTAGATGAATGCTATGGAATCACAGGGAATGTGAGAGGATAGGAGTTTGGTGGCATATATAGCCATATACTGATATTACGCCTATTAAGAGAGTTTTCAGTGTTTTTCCAACAAAAATGGATAATTAGAGCTTTTGAAACTTAAAAAGTATTTTCAAATAATTTGCTATCAAACTTTTTTGATAATGAAATTGGTATCATGATATTTCAACCGACTGTAACTAACAAAACATATTTTTTTTTTCTAAAGTAATTTGAAAAGACTATCACATTAAGAGATATAATAAGCTTTTTTTTTTCATAAAAATCTCTTCAATTATGAATGTATTTATTTTGCTCATTATAAACTAATTTAATAAAATAAAAAGGGTGTGATTAGAATTTCATTTTAGGTGTGTTTGGGTAATCTTTTAAATCTTCTTATTGGCTTTTCCAAAAGGTTAGGAATTCATAGCTTTTTTGAAAAGTCATTCTTTTTTTTTTTTTTTTTTTATCTAAATTTGTCTAAAAAGTTAGCCCTGATAGATAAACATGTTTTCAGGTTCAAACATATTTTTCTGGTAGAATTATCTTTTTGGCAGAATGAACCAAAAACACTGTTTGATTTGCATAAAAACATAAGCATTTTTCAGTAAGATATGTCTTTTTAGAAAAATCCAGAATCATATATTTCTGAATTAATGGGTTGGAAAGACAATTATGTTGCAAACATCGCATCTTTGTTTCTTGAATTATTAATTTCTTTTAGATATTTCTTAATTTCTTTTTTACTGGATTATTACTTTTCTAATGGATTATGTATTAATTAATATTATTTTATTGGATTATTAAATTTTTTTAAATAATTATTTTTTATTCTATTATTATTTTATATATATTAAGAAATATAATTTATAATATACAATATTTATATATTAGTAAATATTATTCATAATATATAGTTTTTATATATTAATGAATATTACTTTATTGGATTATTAATTTATTTTAGTTAATTTTTTTAATTTATTTTTTTCGGATTATTTTTTTTGGACAAAACAACCATCATCCTAATATATTTTAAAAAATTTCATTCATCCCACCATTATTAGACATAAACCAGGTCAAGAATCACATTCTGTATTATTAAAAAAAATGGCTAAAAAGAATAACAACGTAACATCAACTTGAAAAACAATAAAGTAAAAACAACGTAATCGATATTCTATTTGGATTTCAAATGATTATTGTGTAATTTTAATTTGGTATGACATTTTGTATGTTTTTATAATTATTCAGCAACTTCATCCATCACATTATAGAAGTACATGGTAATATGATCAATTTTCATCATTTAATACAGACAGTTAGATAAACAATCAAACAACATAGTTTTTTTCCTATTTAGAAATCTTTTCATACAACACTTTTTTGGACGACAAAAATCAAAAGGGACCTTAGTGTTTCCAAACACTTTGTTAATTTATTGGCTTTTAGAACAAACAATAAATTAATAATTTATTTTAAAAAGCAATTCACAAACTTATATTTATTATTATTTCCACTCCAAAAAAAATATATTTCTAATATAGATAAACTAATATGATCATATTAAATCAAAATTTATTAAATTATAATTTTTTTAACTTTCATAAACTGAATTTAAACTTTTATATGAATTCAATAAATAAAGATTAAAATTTATATTTGTAATTAATTGATATTACTTAGTATATAACGTGGTATTGAAAATATTAATTATTTATATGGACATTTAGGAAAAAATTATATAAAAATAGAATGATATGGATTAAAACTTACAGATAAAAATTCAATTTGATTTTAGTGCTATGAATAATACTATTTCATATTTAAAATATTATTATTTATTTACATAAAAATGAAATGAAATACAAAACTGGTTTTGAAAATAATGGAAGGAAAATCGAATGGAAATGGGTTTTGGAGGTGGATTCTTCAACTTATTTGCATTTTTATATTATTTTTACCTAAAAAATATATTTGTAATATATTTTTATAATTTATAAAAATTGTTAAAAACACTCATTCTATTAATTAGCTTTTAAGAAATATGTATTTAATCTTTTTTATTGAAATAATTTTATAAAGTTTGTTATCGTCAAATTATAAAATTATTAATTATTTGTATATAAACCATTATAATTCTATTAAAGCAAAATAAGTTAAAGAAACTAAAATTACATTTGTTACTCAATATTAAGTAAAAAATTATGCACGTATTTATAGAAATTTTGCATATATTAAAAAGTTTATATATATATATATATATATATATATATATATATATATATATATATATATATATATATATATATATATATATATATATATATATATATATATAGGTTTACGTTATTTTGTTTACAGTATCTATTGTGTTATTGTATGCATAAATGTGGACCAATCAAATTCACTTATTTTAATAAAGTGATTAATATATATTATTGAATTAAATATAATTGAAAAATATCATTTTAATTAATTGCAATGGTATTTTAATCAATTAATATAGATTTAATAAAGGAAAATTGCATTTTTAAGGAATCATAGATTCTATTAATTTTTAAAATCCGATTTTACGAATTATAATTCTTTTAATTCGGACTTTCTGACAGAATATGTTTATGGGTATATTCAAAAATAAAAATATTCTTGAACCATAAATAATAAAAATATTCTTGAACCTATTTCTTGATCATGACTTTAAAAATTCTTGTAGAATAACAAATTCTTGAACAATCAATTGAAGGATAAAAACAAAAAATACATTATTTCTTATAGAATACGGGTAACAATTGTTAACAATTACATTTATTGTTAAAGAATAATACTAAAAAAAACTTTCAAAACGGGTAAGAAAACATCAAAATCTAACAACGACACTAATACATTCTAAAAGAATAATGTTGCTTATAATCACTTTCAATTTTGCGGTTCGTTCTTCAAGCATCCACTTCTGTGATTCCAACAAAATTGGAATTCGTGATTCCATTCCAACCGAATTGATAACTATTTGGAATTTATGATTCCAACAGAATGGGAATTTGTGATTCCAGCAGATCATGAGGAAAAAATTGTGATTCCAATAGAATTGGAATTTGTGATTTCAACAGAATTAGAACTTATAGTCTTGTACAACCCCATTGGAAAAATCAAACTGATCAGTTGGGTTGTGAATCAAACCCTAAAATAAGCAGAAGCAACAAATATCATTAACAAACTTAAAGAGACACTTTTACCTTTGTCAAACTGATCAGTTGGGTAGTGAATCAAAAATTTAACCTGTAACTGACACAACTAGAAGCCACCATTACCACCCATCATAACCATCCATCATTACCACCCTTGATTAGATACAAATAAGAAGTCAAGTAGGGTGGAATCATGTGCAAGGTTTTAAAGAGAGAGAGAGACACTTCTGCCTTTGTCACTACACCAACACGGAATCTTCTCACGAACCCTAGCTCTGCTACCATCAGACCACTAACATGCCATATCAATTGTTGAGTCTCCATTTTGCATTCAATGTTATGTGTAATTCCATCAACAAGCACCATCTTCCTTATTCTTGTCCATCAAACACCTCTACATACCACCACAGATCAACAACATCAATGAATTTATCCTTATGAATCCAAAAAAAAGAAATAAAAAATAAGAAGGGAGAAGAAGGGGTTATGATCGAAGCAAGGACAAGAAAAGAAATTGAAATACCTGCAATTGATTTAGACAGATGGAGGGTTTAATTTTAGGAGGATGTGGCGACGTCGATTTGGTGGTGTTTCGGAGAAAGAGAGTTTACATCAGAGACTCGATCTTTATTGCCTCAACGTTTTATCTTCCTTATGTCATTAGTCTGCAGATCATCTTCTCACAAACCCTAGTTCTGCTACCATCAAACCAACAACAGGCCATATTAATTGTCGATTCTCCATTTTTCATTCAATGTTATGTGTAATGCCATCAACAAGCACCATCTTCCTCATTCTTGTCCATCAAACACCTCTACATACCACCACATATCAACAACATCAATGAATTCTTCCTTATGAATCCAAAAAAAGAAATAAAAAATAAGAAGGGAGAAGAAGGGGTTATGATCGAAGCAATGACAAGAAAAGAAATTGAAATACCTGCAATCGATAGTCGGTCAATCAAACAACTAGTAAAGAAAGTTGCAAACAAAATCGAACTGAGAAATTCAGTAAACTTACCGATCAACAGAGATAGATAAGAAGATGTCTAGGGTTTTCGATTGTGGCCGAGAGATGAGCGATTGAGAGAGAGAGAGAGGGAGAGAGGCGGCCAATCGGACATATTTATAAATCATTAATCATGAATCTGATAGTCGGTCGACTTGCTGGAGTTGGAGATGGCGATGGAAATCGATTTTTGTAAAACTCAAGATCGATTCTAATTTTGCAGATCGAGAACGAGATTTAAATTGGAGAGATTAGGTCAATACCATGATTATAGGGATTAATTTTTGAAGTTACTAAACAAATTACTAAATTACCCTTATTTATTTATTTAATTATTTATTTTTTTGTTTAATTTTGATTGGTCCACATTTACACATACAATAACACAATACTTACTTTAAACAAATGAAGCTAGCTCTCTCTCTCTCTCTCTCTCTCTCTATATATATATATATATATATATATATATATATATATATATATATATATATATATATATAGGCGTAGGTTATTTTGTTTTTATTAACTATTGTGTGCCAGAATGCACAAATCTGGACCAATGGATGTAATTAATCAATATACATGATTTGAGGTGTATATATTACAATGGGATAAAATGTACCATATAATCACATAAATTTTAGCAAAAATGTATTTTGGACAATTAACCACATTTATAAAAGGAAATTTTTGGATTTTTAGGGATGATTAATTCTCCTAATTTTAAAAATCTGAATTTTTTTAATTAATTCAATTTTAATTCTAACGTAATTTATATACATAACCAATTTTATTCTGTCAGAATATTTTTTTTGTTAGAATAATGTTCTTTCAGAATTTTATCCTATTAGAATATTATTGAAGAATAACATCATTCTTGAATATGTGGTT